TTAACAAGCGTAGATCCCATTCTCTGAGCTACATTTCCATGGAAGGGTTGGGAGGCTGGTTTTTCTTTTCCTCCTTTTTTTGTTTTCATTTTTTATTTTATTTTAGTTCATCAAAATATCCACTGTTCTGAGGAGTCCACATCTCCTCCTCTTCCTTGTTCCTTCCTGCCCTTCTTTCTTTTAAGTAAAGGCTGTCTCAGCAGACTGTAGCTACAAAGTCAGTAAGTTGTTTTGGTTATTGTTTGTTTCTTGAAAAGGTTGATAAAAGTTAAAACCACAAACCCAAAAGTGAAGGGATCCGGGGTTCTGGTGTCTTGATGTTTACCTTCCTGGGACAGTAAAGTAAAGGACAGTGTAGGTTTTGATTGCCCTGAACTCAGAGCAGATGATTCCCTCCCAGATATAACACCATGCTTGGGGCCTCTGGGCTTTGTAAGCCATTTGAGAATAAAGTAGTAGGATTCATGGGTATGGATGACGTAATGTGAGAGTTTAAAGGCTAACTAGAGAGCTCACCAATTAAATTTTGAATCCTGTATTCTTAAGAATGGTCTGTTCTCTAAGGCTGGGCTTGACTGGGGGGAGGAGGAGGGAGTGGCTCCAGTTAAGGGAGAGCTAAAGGGAGGGTGGGGAGGGAAGAGGTGAAGCATGACTTGATTTCTCTAGTTAGACTTTATACTGAAAATGGAGTCTTTCACTGGCATGACTAGTACTGAGGTAGCCCCTAGTTTTTATCCTCCATCCCACGCCTTTGGGAGATTAAAAAATAATTTAATAGTTTATGAAGGGCAAAGGGATATGATCTTTCATAGTCCATCTTCACTGTTTCCAAAGTAGGGCCACATGAGCTGAGGATGAAGATAATCATACCCCTTCTGAGCTAGACCTGCCCCACAGAGAGCATCAGTGAAAAGGATTAAGTGGGAGATGAAAGGAAAGAGGACTCTTTGCCTAAAAGAATTAAGAAAATTTCCCCATTAGTGCTCCACTTCTTTAAGCGGGGAGTCCCTCTTATTGGGGGCAAGATAGGCAGTTAATTTTCTAAGAGAACAGAGATGATTTCTGTGTCCAATCCCTCTCAGTTCTCCATGATTCTCTGCCCCTCTCCCCTGACCCTACCATTACCAAGTGTAGACTTGGACATTTTCTCAATCCTTAGAAGTGATTGTCAGGGTCTACAAAAGTTACTGGTGAGAGCAGACCCCTAGGCTTGCTGGTGGAATGCCCTTCTTATAAGAGGGAGACAGAAAGGAAGTGATAGTAGAAGGCCCTTTGAGATGGCATTGGGAGATGTTAAGATGGTGGTCACTTGGTTCAATTAATGCCAAGAGAATATATATATATGTATATATATACATATATATATGTATATATGTATATATATATGTATATATATACATATATATGTATGTATATATATGTATGTATATATATACACACACACACACACACACACACACATATATATATACATATACACATATATACATATATTATATATTTGCTTCAGAAAAGACTGACTTAGGAGTTATAGAATCTGTTCCTTACTCTATCACTATATGGTATTGGACAAATAATTTTCCCTCTCTGGACTTTGTTTCCCTCATCTGTAGAATGAAGGGTTTGACCTTTATTAACTGTTTTCTCTAATTTTGTTTCCAGTCATAAAGTTTTATGAATCCATGAATTTTTATAAAGAATCTTAGAATGCTGTGGTCTTCCTATCAGATATCTCTAAAATAGTGAAAGACAAGTAGGCATTTCTGAGAAAGCTAGGATGGCAAAGTCATGTCAAACATTGACTCTGGGAGCTGTTGAGTCAATGATTTGCTGGTGTCAATCATTTGTTTGCTAGATGTGCATCTGGATCTCTGGAGCTGTTTAGGTATCCTCAGATTCCTTGTGTGTGTGTATTTCTTCTCCTCAAAAAGAGCCATCTACTGAACTTCCTATATGACTGTAATTTTGATGTGTTTTTTTCTTTTTGAACCAGACCTGTGATTTCACTGTGATAGAAAAGTCCTAGGGAGGAAACTCCTGCCTGTGTAGGTCCCCATCTGTTCTTCAACTTGTAATCTTAGAGAATTGCTTGGAGGGCACAGAGATGTTAAATATGTTGTCCAGGGTCACACAACCAGTGTTTGTTGGAAATGGAGCTTGAACCCCAGACTTCCTGACTCCGAGGCCTTCCCTCTAATCATATTGCCATACTACCTCTTTGCAAACACGAATCCAACTTATTAATACTAAACCATGGGGGAGAACCCAAGAAAACCTATGTTTATCATCCACAGGGCTCAAGAGAGTGAGAGTTAAATTGATCTGAAATGGAAACCTAGCACGTCATCAGTCAGGCCCAACCTCATGGCCTAGACAATCAAGAACTGTTTCAATTATCTTAAGTAAAGAGGCAGACTTTGTCAAAGGAACAAGAGCAGCGTTATTCAAGAGGTTATGCAATAAGCCACAATAACCTGGGGGAGGCTTTTATGTCTAGCGAGAATATGATGCTGCTCAAAGACTGTGAAGTACTCAAGGACATTTGGACAGTTAGATGAGACAGATCTGATGAAATCACATATCAGTTAGAGGTAGGGAGGGGGCAAATTTTAGAGAAGTTGATTGGAAACACTAGAGAAAAGAGCTAGTTTTGTGTCTATTAGTAAGGGAAAGATGAGGTACCAGACAAGACTGGTTGAGCTTGAGCACAGTTATTTCTTTTTTTTCTTTCCCCATAGAAAGAAAAATGAAGATGACAGGCATCCTAAAGTAGGGTCTAGAGAGGAACACTGTGGGTGATTCCATCCTCAGTTCTGCTACTGAATTCTGCACAGCGTTGGACAACCTCCTTTGATTCCAGTTTCATCAGATTTAAAGTAGACAGTCTGTGGGCCATTACTATGGCACTGGAGGCTGATTCACTAATTAAAAAAATGAGGAGAGCAATTGATTTACAATCTTAGGGATCATCTGGTCTAACCCCTCATTTTGCAGATGAGGACCAGATAGATGGAGAGACTTGTCCCAGGTCACACAGCTCATAAGGGGCAGGGCCAGAATTCAAAATCGGGCTCTCTGATTCCAAATTCAGTACTCCCTCCATTTCTTTTTCTTCCTTCCTTCCTTCCTTTTTTTTTTTTTGGAAGCTATTGGGGTCAAGTGACTTGCCTAGGGTCACAGAGCTAGGAAAGTGTGAGGCCAGATTTGAACTCAGGTCCTCCTGACTCCAGAGCTGGTGCTCTATCCACTGTGCCACCTAGCTGCCCCTTACTCTTCCCATTTCACACCTGAAGGCAAAAGGGGGTGAGATAGCTGCCTGCTCTGTCATTAGAACTTCTCTGGTCTTGACTCTTCCAGGGAGGGGAAAAGTATAGCAGTTGATGGATGTATGCCACTAACCCTGCAGAGCAATTTTAATAGGTAGATGTCTGTGGAAAGCCAGCTTTGACTTTACATCTATTCACCAGCTTCTCATCTTTCGACTGTTCTTCACATGTTTGAAGAACAAAGAAAGGGGAAAAAAAGAGTCATGTAAGCAAATGCAGTGTGGTTGAAATTAGAGTGAACCAAACCTATTTCCTGAAATTGAACTGCAGCCTACACCAATCCCTTCACTTGAAGCATATGGAAGTTTTTCTTCTCTTTGGGGGAGAGTTTTTTAAAAAAATTTCATTTGTTCTTTGAGCTTGTGTGGGTAAAGCAATGCTAAGACACATCAGTAACTATTGATGGGAATCTCATTTGCATCTATATGAGGCTGGATTGTAGAGGAAATAAATGTTGTAGGAAAAAATATAGCTAGAATGCTGGCCACAGAGCTCTTATAAAATGGCCATCGGGACCCTACAATGTGAGCAAAATACAAGTCTTAAATCTCTTCCAGTGCCTAGCATAGAGCTCTATTCCCCACTCCCATCTATGATTTATTTCATTGGTTTGAGGAACTCCTGGTATGGAAACTCCCTCCAAGGGTACACATTAACAACTCAACCTTAACTTAAATTCTTAGAGAGTTGCCTGGGGCACTGAGAGGTTAAGTAACTTGCCTGCAGCCATATACCTAGTGAGCATCAGAGGAAAGCCTTGAACCCAGATCTCCCTGACTCCTGGGCCAATCATCTATCTGCTATACTATGCAACTTCCCTTTGCACATGTAGGTATTTAATAAATGGTTAATGAATGAATGAATGAATGGAGGCACTGAAATATGTGCAAAAGGACCCTTTAATATGGTATTAAATACCTTAAATTATGACCACCAGAATTCTGCAGTATGGCTGTATTAACCCTATAATATCGCCATAAAGCTCTTCCAGAATGTAGGACAGTTCCTTGCACGTAGGATACAGATAAAAACTACACTTATGATTCCATCGGTATAGAGTGCTGCCAGGTAAAGAAATTGCCTCTTCCAGGGGAGGTAGGCCCCTTCTCTGGAGCATACAGTCTTCGAGAATCTTAGAGTTTTCTAGAGCACTGAGATGTCAAGTGACTTATCCCAGATCACACAGCCAGTATGTGTCAAAGGCAGAGCTTGAACCCAAATCTTCCTGACTTTGAGGTCAAGTCTTACCCACTACACCACACTGTCTTTCTCAGATTCAGCATCCTGGGTACTTAATAAGCAAATCAAGGGCTTACTGTTGTTCTAATAAACAGGGTGCTAGTGATGTATGAGTGGAAAAAAAATCATTGCACTTGGAATCAGAAGACTTGGTTTCAAGGTTTGATCTGTTTCATCATGGGTAAGACACTTAACTTCTTTATCTCAATATCCTCATCCTTAAAACAGGAATAATAATACTTGCACTACTCCCTTCCCCGGGTTGCTATGTTCAGTCAAATGAATTATTAGTGAAAGTGTTTATGAGCTTTAAAGCACTATATAGCTATTACCTATTTTAATAAGCACAAACTTTTCAGCCATGCTTGCTGATTGTATAGTTCCCCACAGAATATCATCAAATAGTTTTGTCCATGACCTGTAGGTACAAAACTTATTACAGTTAATGGCACTATGGGTCATATGAGGTTGGATTTGGGGATTGGGGTATTGGGAACCTTGAGTGAAAAGCAGAAGAATCCCTGAATCACACAAGACCGGCTCAGTCCCCTGAAATTCTGAAGCTGGCCATGCAGCTCAGTCATACTAAGGCAAGGAGTGGTAGAGGGTAATAGAATGTGAGAGCTGGAGAAGATCTTAGAGATCATCAAATCTATTTCCAACACATAAGAGGTGAAGAAAAGGGTTTTCCATGGGCTTATTCAAACTATGCTGATCTTTTTAGTCTTTGAGGGCTCCCTAACAAATTTCCAAAGAAGGCTCACCAAACGCTGATGGGAAGAAGCCCTTTTTGAGGGTGGGGAGTGGGGGTGGAGATAAGTCAAAGGGATTGAGAAATTAGCAAGGTACCCACAATACATAAACCCCAAGAAGTTCTCCAGTGTTAGAGGAGTTCCTTTTCAGGATGAGAGTTCTGCCTTCTTTCCCCTGAAATCTTTATTAGAGGCTGATTAGGGACTTCTGGTAAAATTGACTCTATATCCCAACCATTTGTTTTTCTCACAATGGTTTTCATGTCTGGGATGGGGAGAACAAAGAACAGGCTGCATTACACAGTAGGAGTGATTGAAACATCTCCATTTTGGAGCTGTTGGCTAAGATCTATCAAAACCATAAAATAGACCCATCCCAAAGGGTAAGGGGTTCTGATGAATGAAGTCACTTCTCTTTTCATGGACTGGATTTTTAAAATGGGACTGTGATTAATTGGCTTTGTGTCCAGTGCTGTGGAGGTAACTGTTCATGTGGCTTCTGTAAGGTATGCCTGTCTTTCAATAACTATTTTAAATTTGGATGGACCCTGTTAGTTTCCAAGTGGTATGAGGTTATTAGAGTTTAAGAGCTCTTCTTACTTCCTTCTTAGATATGATATATCTAGAGCTAGAAAGAACCACAGAGGCTAACTAATACAATCCCCCTAATTTTTACAGAAAAGGAAACTGAGGCCTAGGGAGATTAAATGACTCATTTTGTGTGTGTCACTCAAGTAGTAACAGGGACAGGATTTGAACCCAGGGCTTCTTGATGCTACAGCCAGTGCTCTTTTCACTATGCCATGTAGCTTCCTGTATCCTTCAGGATAATTCCTTCTTTCTCAATGTCTTAAGCCTTATTTTGTTGCTCCTTTCAAGGAATATTTGTTAGGCTTTCAAAATCTGTCTTTCTAGGTTGGCTGGAATTTTCCAGCCCCATTAATGTTCTCCAAGGATTCAAATGGATAGCTGGATAAATCCAGCCTCAACTTATGACTATGTCCAGGAAGCACATCGCTGTCAGAGTCTGGAGGAGAGATCCCATTGCTTCTCAGTCTTTGATTCCTCCCCTTGTGCTGTATTTTTTTTACAGCACTGTCTCTCTACTTGTCACCTTCTGCCCTAGCACCTGTCCAGTCTTTGAATGAGAGTATAGTAAATTGGCACCCCAATTTTCCTAACTATTTAGTCTTCATCTGTTTATAAGAAAATTAAGACTCATTTGTGTTTATTGATGTTTCTTTGTGTAGGTTAAATCAGTTTCATAACTCTGTCTCCATAGTCGGTCGTGCAATTCTGTAGACTATAGCTGTCATGTTGGTAACTGGCCAAGGCATGATGGCAAAACACTAGTTTGGAGATCAGAATGATCTGGGTTAAATCCCCAAGTCTATTGCTTCCTACCTGTGAGATCTTGGGTCAGTCACATAACCTCTCTTAGCCTCAGTTTTTTCATTTGTAAGATTAGGGGGTTGGACCACTAAGGTCTATTTCAGCTCTAACATCTGCCAATGTCTTCTATGTTCTTGGTAAATAGTTGGAGGTCCTGGTACTGTGTAGGGCCTGAAGCAGGAGATCAGGGCATTTTGATAGTTGATAAGCATGTGTTGGGATGAGCATGTGTTTATGAAAGCAGGTGATGAGGTAGTCAGTGTGTTTTACAATACCCTACTAAACATTTATATATTAGCATTGAGGGATAAATGAGAAAGGATGACCAGGTTCTTTAAGGGAAGGTAAACTACGACTCCATTTTTAGGAATAACATAGGACTTTTAGAATTACTCAAAGGAAAACTGTGAAATGATATTTTATTACAGTGTGGTTGTATTCGTGCTATTTCTACAATGATCTTGCTAGGTGGCTCAATTCAACGAATAGCAGAATTCTGCTTTAAAGGAAACTTTCTTGACTTAAGTCTATATTCATAACACAAGCTGATTGGGGCCAAAGAAGTCATGTCTTTTTCAGCACTTTAGCCTCCACTCTCACCACACAGGCCCATTATGGACATGACCTTAAGAAATATATGAAAGAGTTAAAGTTACCTTGTTTCCTTGCTAATTGACATGACTGGTCACTAAGTGGATTCATGCCTTACTTGTCAGGATCTTTCCTGAAGTCCTAATTCTCTGTCTTTGGCTCTGAGATTTACATGTGACTCCTGATTGTAAAGGAAGCATCTTTTTAAATTTTCCAATTTTTCTAAAATGGGTCATCTCTCCTGTGCCAATTTCTGTCCTGCCAACATCTGTAGTTCTTCCTACTGTTTTGGCCCACATATCAACCAACTTAACAGAACAGGTAGATTGGTGTCACGAAATGTACACTATCTTGGGAGTTTTTGGAGACCTGGGTTATAATTCTGGCTCTGCCCCCAATCAAATATACAAGCTTTAGAAAATCATTTAACATCTCTGGGCCTGTTTGCTACTGTATAAAATGAAGGTATTGAACTAGATGGCCAGTAAAGTCTCTTCCTGAAGAGGCTCTGTTGTTTTTTTTCATGTATGTGTGTATACATATATGTGTGTATATATGTGTATGTATATATGAGATGGGTTGTTTGTTCATTTTTTTTTTGACTAACCTTCTGCGGAGCCTATGCTGAATTTAACCTGAAAAGTACTAGCTTTATTTTTAGTGCTGGGTGTACCAAGGTCTTAAGACGCATGTTAAAGCGGCCCAGTGCTCAGATTGTCACTTCACTGAATCCCAACAACAGTTTTACTTCCCCCCAAAAGAAAACACGTGTTGGGAGATATGCTAGCTAGCCCCAAGGGATTGCTGTTCCTTTCTTATGTAGTCAAGTTTGTGTTGGATTACTCATGACTTCATGAGCAAATTTCTAACTCTCAGACTCAAACAGTGAAAGGTGGCTAAGGGTCCTAAAGTCTCTGGTCTGAATAGAGCCCTAGGTTTGCAGAAAATGGAGGTGGTCAATGGACTGTCACTATGGAACTGAAAAAAAGAGAGAAGGAGAGAGCTGGGGAACTGCACAAAGATTTCAGAAGCTGGTATAGGATGTAGTTGAAATCTACTTTGAAAGTAGAAAAAGCTTCCAAAATAGCCACTGTGACTCCCTGTCCTCTTAGGCTTAAAAAAAAAAAGAAATCAAATAGTGATAGTGAAGATACAGCATGTAATAAAATGGGAGGTAGGCACAGTTCTCTCCTCTTCACCTTTGGATTTCTAGATGTAATTTGCTCTGGCACTTTTCATTTTTCCTATCCTAGATAAATAATAAAGGAAGGTGGAGGAAAGTTTCTCTTGAGCTTATTGACTAATGGGGTCATTCCATCCCCACTGGGACCAAGAATCTACTGCTGCCACCCCATACTGGCTGATGGAATAGCTGCCTGGTTATTTGGCAGGATTACTTTGACTTTAACTGGTTCACCCATAGTTCAGTGATATTGACTGAGTACAGGACTGTGGTAGTTGGCAATTCCTCAAAAAAAAAAAGATCAAACATTGAGGAAACAGGTACTTACTCTGCAAGTGTTTTCTGAAATTACTCTGAGGATTAGAATCTCCTTGTTGGTAGGGACTGTACCTTATGTTTTTGCTGTATGGCTCATAGCATGGTGCTGAGCATGTAATAGATACTCCATAGAGAACTGTTGATTGGTTGAGTTGAGGGAGATTTATAGTGCAATATGACATGACTTATGGAATCCAGTGTCAGGGATTTTAAGTGTTATATATTCTGCATCAGTGTCTGGAGTGGGGATGACAAATGCAATTGGGAAATGCCATTGTTAGCAAATTAAAGAGAAGTGGGGCTCCCTGGAAAATCTTGAAAGAATGAGTATCTCTTGGGTAAGAATAATAAAAGACAAAAGTTGAGAATTTAGAATCATTTGAAGGGAGCCCAGGTCACTAGAATGGTGAAAAGCCAACATGTTGCCAGAAAAAATTATGTTGAAGAGCTGTCTCATCCGTTGGCCTCCTACTTAGGGCATACTGATGTTAACAGTTGGCTAATAAATCAGCCAAATGGATTGAGTTAAGGCCCTATTTCAGAGACCATCAATAACCACCACTCTCAGGTTAGGAAGATGAAGGGCATCTCAGAGACAAGACAAAGGAAGAAGATGAAAGTCCTAACCCACCAAAAAGTAAGGGCTACTGGACTTGTCCCTGGTTTGATCTTTTATGAAAACTTTCCTTTGTCTCCTTTAGCGAGGAGTTGGGGTATGGTTAAATAGGAAGGAGACCTGGGACAAAGGGTCAGGACCTTAGAATTTTATGACTTGGGAGAGGAGAATGCTGTGGCCCTGACTATCCTCTCTGTACTGTCTTCCTGCTTCATTCCCACTTCCTTTATATACCCTTAGTAGGTTGCAATAGCACATCATTATTATTTCCCCCCCCCAACCTCATTTCATATTATAAAATATAAACAAATGACAGAAAAGGTCGGTTGTTTATGGTCTTTCCTCTGCTCACAGATGTAGGGAACGTCGCTTCCTTCCAACCACAGGTCGGTGGTTGTAAGGCCGCATCTTCATTTCCACAAAGGGGATAGAGAACTCGTGGCCTTTCCAATGATACCAGTTGATTCCCTGTTCAGAAGAATGATAAGGGTGTCATGCTCTCTTTTTACTCTCCCATCACTCCCATGAGCCAGACCCTAGCTGGGAGAGATGGGGAATGGTGTGCTTTTAGGAGATGGAAAGGGAAAAAGGGACCTAGTATATGAGTTTAGCAGGTTTTCCATTCGTGTAACATCTGATGGATCTTCCATTCCAGCCAGGCTCTCCAGTGATGCCCATCTTTCCATTTTGAACAGCCATGGAACTATGGACTTCCAGTCTGAGATGGGGGTACTCTATCTTTAATTGCTGGGAGTCACCTTTTTGGCTTTTAGTACTAGTAACAGGTAGTTTTTTCCCCCAAGTGTTATGGGAGTCTTGTGCACCTGCAGATCCAATCATCTTGCTCTCATGGCATTGTCATGAGGAAGACATTAGAAAGCTGCTACTGGAAGAACCATGACATGTAAGGAAGCGCCTTGGAGAGACAGTCTGGAACAAATGTAGACCTTCCATAACTGGTTCCAGGCAGCTAACCTTACATGTTGAAGAGGAGACTCCGATTTGCTGCAAAGGGATATTCAAAAGGTCCTACCAATTTTGGTTATAGTCTCTTTTTTTTCTTAGTACTCTTGTGGGACCTTGGCAACTAATCTTGATAGAGAAGCCTATATGGTCTTGTGAATCTGGAAGATCCAAGGGGCATCCTGAGCATCTTATTGTTCCAGAGTTTGGGTTTTTCTGCCAGCACAGGACCTTGATAACAAGTTCAAGTCTCCTTCCCACTGAACTATACTTCTTCCCTTTCCCCAGGGCCACTTGAACCCTACAGGGTACTAGCTTTTGGGGATGACTTTTCTGGTTGGCTCTACCCTGCTGAAGATTAGTGTCTCTTGTCAGACCTGATATGAAATTGAAAACTCTTCCTTTTTCCTCCTCTGACTTCTAGTCCTCTATCCTATTTTCATCCTATTATTTACACTGTATTCTTGACTTCCTGGAGATGGGATTCCATGTGATCATTTACAAGGGAGAAAACGTATTCAGAATCATATGCTCCTGTAAAAGCAGAGGGACTACAGACTCTATTAGTTAAAATAAAACACCAATATTTAGTTGCCTGGATGGATGAAATGGTTAAAAAAAAAAAGGGCAATTACTCTCTAAAAAAAAAAACAACCCCCCAAATACTCCTTTCTCCCAACATCTGTCCTTACCTGACTGTGCCTGGACTCCCCATACTTTCCATTTAGGTTGGTTCGGTGGCAGTTCTTATACCACCAAGCTCCCTTGTAGGACATGGCACAATTGGTAACAGCAACATCATTGTCTCTGTCCTCGGTGGAGAAGGGCCGCCCTTGGTGATAAGTAAGGGAATCCCCTGGAAAGAAAGAGATGTGGGATTTAATGGCTACTTATCCCTGAAAATGTGCTTTCCTCTCACAAAGAAATTCAATCACTCAAACATTCCCATTTCACAGAGTCCATTAGCTACCCACTATCTGAAAAGGACTCTTTCATCTTACACCCCAAGCTGACTACTTCAATGCTTCTTTCTCCAGCAACCTGGAGTCCCTCACGTGCTGGCCTTTCACTCAGGCTACCATGCTGATCTCCAGCACTGGACTACCTTCATTATCCATATTCTAGCACGTATCGATTTAGAGGCAGCTAGGTGTCAGACTTGGGGTCAGGAAGACTTGAGTTCAAATCCTCCCTTAGACACTTACTAGCTGTGTGATCCTGAGGAAGTTACTTAACCTTTCTCAACCTCAGTCTCCCAAGTGGGGATAATAACAGCCCTTTCTTACTAGGATTATTGGGAGAACAAGATGATAATATTTGTAAAGTGTTTTGCAAGCTTTAAGATGTTATATATAAGTCACTGTTCTATTCTTACCTGGCCCATTACAGATTCCTACTGTACAACTTCAGTCTGGTTCTTGTAATTCTTTCTCCTCCTATCTCTAATCCTTTGCTCCTCTATTCTCCTGTCAGCAGATGATTCATACCCAGCTTCACAGAGAAGACAGAGAGCATCTGGCGTGAGCTGTAGTCTCTCCAGTTTTAACAGAGTACTTTCCCTATGTTTTATCTTACCCTCCTTTCCAGTTCAGTGGAAAAGTTTTCTCTCCTCTCTGATGATCCAAATCCCATCCCTCCTCCTCTAACACTTCAGTCCTACAATTATACTCTCCCTCTCTAGCATTTTCCATCTTTCCCACTTCACGGGCTCCTTTATGTTCCTTTGTGCTTGGTATAGCAAAGATGTATTAAATGCCTACTACATGCACCTAGTTTTGGGGATAGATCCAAAGATAAAAATGAAAAGCCCGTTGTTCTCATTTCTACCCAGATGTGGCTGGATAGAGATAATGTCGAGTAGATAAGTAAGTGCAAGGGCATTGGAGGAGGGAGGAAGCTCTAATAACTGGGGGAAGGGTTGGGAATCAAGTACGATGACTCCTGAGCTGAGCCTTCAGGCTCCAGAGAAGCCTTGTCAGGAAGATAAAGACAGTGCTTGGTGGAGAAGAATGCATCCCAGACATGGTGTGTGGCTTTTCCAACTCCACAGAGGTTGGAGATGGGATGCCAACCATGGGGAATGGCTAGAAGTCCAGTTTCCTAGGAATGTAGAGTTAGTGAAGGAAAATAATGAGAGCTAAGACTAGAAAGGTGAGTTGGAACTAGTTTATGGATGGCCTTCAGAGCTGAACTGAGGAGGCTGTATCTTTTCCTAGGGGAAATTAAAGGTTTTATAGCAAGTGAGTAACCTAAACCTGGCACTTCCACCTTCAAACACGATTAAATGTCATCTACCTTACATAACACTAACAAACAACTTTGCTCCTTCAAATAAAAGAGAACTCTTCTCGGGGCTGCTGACACTCTTCTGCAATTGATTACATAACTATACTGTATCCCTCATGGCACCTACCTAAGCCAGTCTAGATTTGAGGATCTGAACCCAACTTACTTTTGCTCAGCTGAGGGCAACACACTCCTTGAATGCCATCCATGACGGCTGCCTCCATTTCTTAACCACTCTTACCCCTTTCTTAACTTCCTGCAATTTAATTTTTGTCCTTACCACCCCACAGAAATTGTTCTCACAAAGGTTACTACAAGCTCCTTGCCAAATCCAATGCCTGTTTCTCAATGCCCATTCTCTTTAAACTCTCTCTGGCATTTGTCTACCACCCACCCACTCTTCCCTGTAAATGTGTCCTCTCTTAGCTTTCATGATATTGCATTTTTTTCTGATAATCTCCCAATGTCTCTGCTCCCTTCCTATGTCCTTTGTTAACTCCCTTTCCATCATCTACCCAGAATGTTGTCCTAACCCCCCTGTGCTATTTCTGTAGAGGACTCCTATGGCTCTAGTTCCCATAGCTTCAGCTAACACTCTATCTGGATGATCCCCAAATTCTTATTTCTAGTTCCAACTGTGTACTGGCGCTCTAGTCCAAAATTCCTTGTAGTAGATAAGATATTTCACTCGAATGTTTCCCAATCACCTCTCATTCAATATGTCCCGAATAGCATTCACCATATCTCCCCTACCTAAATTGACTCTCCTTTCCAATTTCCTATTTCTATCAATTTTCCCATCTCCTAGGATTGACACTTTGGAATCATCTTTAATCCCCCCCCCATTCATTCCCTCTATCTAATGTCGCCAACTGTTGTCATTTCTTCATTTTAAATATTGCTCTGAATCTCCGATTCCATTCTACTGCACCGTAGGTTCTTGTGGTCTTTTGTTTGCAATGATTATTACGCCTTTTAATTGTGAACTTTGACAATGCTAATCTCTTCCACTCTATTCCCTCTTGCAAAATCTTCACAAAGAGCACTTTCAGCATGTTCCTCTTGTGTTTCATAACCTACAGTAGGTCTCTATTATCAGCTGCATCAAGTCCCAATTCTTAAGTCAACCTTTCAAGGTCTTTCTTGGATCTGGTTCCACAAAGGCCACATGGTATAGAAGAAAGAGATCTGGAGTAGTTTGGATCTTGATACTTGTTATTTATAAACTGTGTGACCTTGGACAAGTCATATTAATTCTTTGGGAGTCAGTTTCCTCATTTCTAAAATGAAGATAATTTCTGAAGTCCCTTCTACGTCTCAATCCTATCTCTGTTGTGTTTATCTAATCTATTTGAAATTACTTATCACTGTTTCCCAGCTCATACAATCTATTTTGGTCAGACAGGACCCCTGATTATATACACTTTATGTCATAATCATTATTTTGGCCTTTACTCATGCTATTTGCCTCACCTGAAATGCTATTCACAATCCTCTCTGACTTTCCTAATCCATTCTATTCATCAAAAACCAGTTCAGTGTCCATCTTTGCAAAGACTTCCTCAAATGCCCCACCTCACATTGATAGCACCCTTCTCTAGGTTTCTAAACTTAAATCATAACTGCATAATTTAGGACTTGTTGTCTACTTATTTTATTCACAGTTTAGGGACATAATGGAGTCCCTAAAAATTGTTGAAATGTCTGCCATGGTCAGACCTGACACCTTTCACCTTCAAATATGTTACGGTACTTTTTATCTGAATTTATATATGTATATATCTACATACACATGTAGATATATACATACATATGTACATATGTGTATATTTACTATCCAATCCCATTTCATGTCCATAAAAAATATTGTAGATTCTTTATGGTTATGGATCATGCTTCCTCACTCTTCTTTTGTTAAGTGATTAGTAGAGTGCTAAGTTCATATTAGCACTCAATCCATCTTTGTTGACAAATAGATTTGTAATTTTATGTTGGATACCTATTACAGTCCTAGATGAAGACAATTTTTTTTTATCTTTGTGCTGAGAACAGTAGGAAAGACTTAACTTAGAGTAGAGGGACTAGAAGAGGCACTGATAAATAGAATGAAAGCCAGTGAAAATGTTTATAAACCCATAACTGGTAAAAGTCAATCCAAAAATTAGATTGAGCAACAAGTCAAGTTAAATGAGACTGGAGTTGGAACAAATATTAGATTCTGAAAATTGTAAGAGAGGAAGACAATGAAATCTTTCTGCCTCTAGGTCTTCAGGCTGAAGATAGACAACCATTTGTCTAGGATTGCTGAACATAGGCAACAGATCAAGTGATTTTTTTTTCACAAAAGCACCGTCTAGCACAAGACTAGAAGTAGGAAATTGTCTCTAATAGATCAGACTATAACCAGTAGACATGGGTTGATAAAAACTCATCACAACTATCTCTATATGAGATATGGTTAAGCAGGAAAGAAAAACAGAAAGTCACCTGTGTATATGACAAGGTTAGAGACAGACAAGATCAGTGAAACCAAGAACTGTAAAACTCTGGTTTAAATTAGATTTGTGCATCCCCTCAAATGCTGTTTTGAGGAATTGGGAAGGTTTGTGTCTTATGCCGTTTAGAGAAACAAGGACCAGGGATAATTTCTCCACAGGCATAGGATTAATCTTGCGTATTGTAAAATGAGAGTTTGAGTGGCTCCTGGTCATTCCTGGCTTAATCAGCTTCGTTTCAAGACTTGAACGATAAGGATGACATAACAACTGAAAGTAGTGTGTTTCAAGATCTGAATAAAGATGACCTTACAACTAAGAGTAATGTGGCTCAGAGAGTACTATAGGCGTTCTTAGGCTCATTTAATTCTGGCTCTCCTACTTATTGGCTGTGGTGAGTCAGTTTACCTCTTTTTTACCTCAGATTTCCCATCTGTAAAATGGGGATAATAATTGGTATCTTGAGAGGAAGTATGGTAGAGCTGATTGAGGGCTGGCCTTATTGTCAGAAAGAACTGGGTTCAAATTCCTTTATCTGTCCTCCCTATACAAGTAAGTCATGTGACCAAAGGCAAGGCACTTCATCTCTCTGCCCCCAGACAACTCTCTAAGACCCCAAGTGACAGATGAATTGTTGTTCTGCATTTATGGAAGGAGTTTTCAAACCAAGAGTTCCTCAAGTCACAGTCCCAGAATTTAAAAATTGAATATCTCTGTTATAGACTTCATAGCGTTGTAGTAAGGATCACATAAGGTGACACAGGCATCTTGGGAAGTGCCCTATAAATGCAGGTTGTGGTTAATATCATTATCAAAGCTCAGCATGTTGTCTAGTTAAGCAGAAGGGTTTGTGGCAATTTTTCAAGATAGTGTGATTGTCGCTGGAAATGATCATTGATATGTACACCATGACAAAGGAAAACTCAGCCGCTAAGAGCAGCAAAGAACACAGAGCAGCCAGCAACATTTCTGAAGGTAGTTCAGAGTGACCGGAGAAGGTGGTCTGTGGATTTATACCGATAGCTCTCTCATTTATGTAGCTCTCTAAGGTTTGCAAAACACCTTTACATATATTATCTTACTTGATGCTCCTAGCAAAAGACTGGGAACTGATCAGAGAGTCTGTCTGGATAAAATTAATGACAGAATAATAGGGGCTTAGAGCCTCCCTTGGGGTAGTAGGTGGCACAGCGGATAGAGTGTTGGGCCTGGAGCCAGGAAGACTCGTTTTCTTGAGTTTAAATCTGACCTCAGACTATGTTACCCTGGGGAAGTCACTTAACCCTGTTTGCCTCAGTTTCCTCATCTGAAAAATGAGCTGGAGATGGAAATGGCAAGCCACTTCAGTATCTTTGCTAAGAATACTCCAAAAAGGGGTCGTGAAGAGTCAGACATAACTGAAAAATGACTAAACAATAACAAAAGAGCTCCACTTAGCAGCAATGCCACCAAAAACCTAGGCAGAGGCAATCAGCATGCATGCACCTCAGGCAAAGGAATGAAAACAGAAGGGAAACGTTAAAAATAAAGTGAGCCCATCATACTTAGTGCTGTGCCTGACTCACGGTGGGGGCAGAGGTAATTCTCCTTGATTGACTGATTTATTTGCCTCCCTGACCTGGGGAGCTTAATCTGTATTGGTAGGACTTCTCCAAGAACAGGGGCCCTGGAATACATCATCACTTATTTGGAATGAAGCTTTTATAGCTATATGCATTGCCACTAGGAAACTTCCATCCAAATAATTATTCATTAAAATAGAGGACAATGAGCCATTTATTGATTAATCTGAATGACAGGAATGATATCTTGAATTCACATGGAACTTTTTGCTTTAAAAAGCACTTCTACCTATGCCATTTCATTTTATCTTTATGACTCTGAGATTGAGTGGGTATTATCTCCCCCATTTTATAGATAAGAAAACTGAGGCACAATGATGTTAAAAGACTTGTTCAAGGCCACATAGCTAGTTAGGGACAGAACTAGGGATAGGATCCAAGCCTTCCTATCTCTTCAGCTCCACACTCTTAGTAGACTATACTGCTTTGTGCCAGGAAGAGAGTTAATCATTTGGATGTGGAAATATCCATGAGCTTCATAAGCCCACCAGCTTTGCCAGGTCCCTGTGGCTCTTGGTTTCTGAATGGAGGCAAGAAAGTACCAGCAGTGCCATTGTAGTCTCCTATGCGGAGCTTGTAGAGGCTTCTGCTGTCCCCAATAGAGAACTTGTCATAATAGGCGTAAGCTGCCTCTTGGCCGTCTCGCATGTCTATCCGCAACTCATATCGCCCTTGGGAAGTGATCTTGTGCATGTTATCCAGCCCTGCAGAGAAGAGCAAAGAATTTGAGTGAGATATGGTCCAGAGCAGCTTGGGAAGAGAAGGAAAAATAAGTCTGTGTCCATGAAACTTGTGTTGAATGAAGAGGAGACGGCATAGCATGGAATAGAAGAGGCAGCCAGACATCTCCCCCCTGCCCCAGCCTGACCACCCCAATAGAACAAAAGCTCTGAGGGCAGGGAAAATTTCATTTTCATTTTTGTCTATCCCATGCCTAATGCAATACCTTGCACATAATTGGTTTTTAATAAATGTTTCCTGAATTGAATTCCTACTTGAGCTGCTGTAGTCAGTACCATATTGTTCAGAATTAAATCACACTTTCATTGTTTTATGTGTGTTTGTCTTGCCCTGCCAGCTAGACTCTCAGCTGTATGAGGGCAACGACCCTCTTTTACTTTCTTTTTTGCTTGGATCCTTGATGAATAGTTCTTGATTTGGTTTTTACCTTATTATCTTCCCTATGCTTCTATGGTGCTTGTGTTGGGCATGTCATAAATGCCTAATAAATACTTGTCAATTGCTTGCTTGCTATTCCATCATTCTTATCAGAACTGACATAATGTCATAGGATTTAGAACTGGAAGAAACCTTAGAGATCATCTAGTCCTTGAGCAAGCGGAAGCCTAGAGAGATAAGGTGATTTTCCTAAGGCTCATGGGGAGTAAGTAGCAGAAACAGCATTCACACCTAACTCCTTGGACTCCAAATCCAGTGCACTTTCCATTATCTGACCAAAAAGAGAGAACGAATTTGTTGAATTTCCTCTAGACTCCTTGTCAGACTTCTGTTAAATTTCATATGTGGGCAGATTCTAATTTGGCATCAAGAACTGACCTCAGAGATTCTGTTTGTGCACAGCTCCGTTCTGATCCCTACCTCCTGCCAGTCCTGGACCTCCAGGAAATTGCCAGTCACCTCTAATGCCTTCTTAATTTTCCTATTTCCTTCCCGAAGCGGGTAATAACATTTCTCTGTGGAGCTAAGTGAAGTGACCGGACTCATTTCTCTTGTGACCTAAGGCTGGCTGGTGCCTTGCTTCTTGGAGATGAAAGACCCCCCTGTTAACTCACTCTGCCGTTTACCCCAGCTGGGCAGCTCTTTCCCTTTGTAGTTCTCTCATGTCAAACCCCATCAACATAACAGACTATTAATGAGGCTAGGAAGAGATGGCACAAAGAGGGGAAATACCACAATAAGATAAAAGCAGATCAATAGAGAAGCCAAACAGAGTGAAAGGTAATGAGAATAATTTTGGAGCTGTCAGCTTTCTGAACAGACACAAGGAGATGGGGCAGGTAAGTGGGAAGAGAGCTCCTTGTAACCCGAGATGGACACAGAGAAGTAAGAGATGGACAAAATGTCAAAGTAGCACAGAAAAGAAAAGCAGGGGGTCAATACCCAGCCAAAACTCATCCTCTAAGTTTCCGAAACCAACACGGTAATCTGTCCATTTCCGGAAAAAATCTGTTAGGCCATTCTGCCGTCTCTGGAACACCTAAAAAGGCAAGGGGGAGAAATGAGAATGGGCACTGCAGATGGGTACTAGGCAAACATCAGGCAGATATGGATTCGTTCTCTCTCTTCTGCTCTCTCCTTCTCTCTCTCTCTCTCTGTCTCTCTGTGTCTCTGTCTGTCTGTCTGTCTCTCTCTCTCTCTCCCCCCAACAAAACAAGGTATCAGTATTGGGTTTGGTATTTTCACAGATGCTTTGCTTCTCTTTCTATGTCTACACTCTCCTAATAGGTTTGGGTGTGAGATTGGCGATCATGTTCACTCTCTGAATGTAGACAACAACAAAGGTATGCACAAATCCTTCAGAAAGGTTAGAAGAGGTGGTCCCAGCCCTATGCTTTTCTATGTCATTAAATTGGAGTTTTTCACCAAAAGAAAGGGAATGACTCTCATCAACTAGTGACTGACACCATCATATTGGAGGCAAAGTAACTGCAAATCATTCACTTTCCAAGCTGTTTAAGTGCTAATTTCATTTACTCTCCAATAAATCAGCTTCGACTTCAATTTCCAATTATGCTTTAAGAAGCAGGCACACATATGTCAGAGATATAAAAGGGAATGTCTCCCAAGAGCAGCTGTTATGAACAGAGGTACCATTTAACTCTTCAAAAACAACCCATTTTCAGCAGTTTGAAAAGGCTAGCTCTGTCAGTGGGGCAGGGCAAGGTGGAGGGAGGTAGGGTTGGTTGGGGAGAAGGTTGGGTTATAGGACTTCTCATCCCTCACTCCTCAGCTGCCCAGGGGTCAGACATTAGGAGTATTCCAATTTTTAAAAAATTCAACCTAACCAATATTTATTAAGAACCTACTCTGTGCAAGGAGCCATGTTAGGCATTTGGAACACAATGATTAAAACAAAGTTGCACCTGTTTTCAAGCTTCAATGGGTTGAGTTGATTCAACATGAACAGAGATAAGTGCATACCATGTAGAGTCAAAATAAACAAAAAATGATGGCAGGAAGCAAAGACTAAGAAATGGGGATGAATGGGGAAGGCAAAGGGAGCTTGGAATTTTAATAAGTGGTGTGAAGAGGGAGTACATTCTAGGCATGGAGGACCCCTGTATAAAGGCATTTATTCTGAGATAATCTACATTGTTTCAAGCATTAGTAGAGTCATTCATTTTACTCTCAAGCCTGCACCTCATGCCAGAGCCCTGGCATAGTCATCAACAGGCCCAGAAAATGAGGCTTTCTGAATTCAAAGTCTTGAACACTCAAGGTCCCCCAAAATTCCCAAATATTCTTGGTGAGAATCAGCGTGATAATAGTAATGGGGACAGAGATGGTATCAAGAGCAGGGGGGCTGAGATTCTGATCCTGGGTGAGTCTACATGCCTCTGTCTTCCAGCAGCTGACTTTACACAGGAGGGCTGAGAAGGAGGAGTTTCTTTAAGAGATTATCCAACCCACTGGCATGTAGAGCTACAAAAGCACTTTACCCCATTTGCCTGTTATAGCTAAGACCCACAGAAGAGCTTCTATGTGGGCCTGCTAAGTACCTGGAATCAAGCTCATTTTGCTTCCGTTTCTCTTTCAAGGGTGTTCAGGGTTCAAGACATCAGCATCCCTGCTCCTGTCACCATCTCTAACCCCATCACTACTATCATGGTGCCTCTCACTAAGAGTATCAGGGAATTTTCAGGGACCTTCAGTGTTTATGGCTCCTCTGGAGCACACTGTTCTGCCTCCTCTTCTCTTCCTTCTGAATCAACAATGCTTGGGAAAGGAATAGGAGGGAAGGTAGAGAATCCTGGTTTGTCTCCCAAATTCCTGGTTCCTTCTCATGACTCTCCCAGCTTTAACCTTACTTGCTTCCACATTGTTTAACTTGTCTGTGTCTGGGCCATTAAATAGGGTTTCCAGGAAACTGAAGAAATGGTAGAGATTGAATTGTGGTGATGGATAAGAGGATATGGTAAAAGAAAAAAGGTGAATCTACAGAATGCTGTGAATGTTCAGAGGCTCTGAGAAATCCCATTGTTACTTACAATCCAGCCGCCCCCATCTGTAGTCATATCGCAGTATACCTGGACCTTCTGGCTCAGGTCCCCATTGATAGAGATGGTGTAAACCCCACTGAGGGTGTCTCCATTTATCAAATGCTGGGCACAATCCTGAGGATGAGGGAACACCCGACCCCCTGGACAGGGAGAAAGGGAGATTTCCTAAGAATGACCATTTCTTTAACCATTTGTAATAATCCCTCCCAGTAGAGAAATAGCTTTTTGAAGGGGAGAAAATATATCTACACACACACACACACACACACACACACAAAACACACACACACATACACATACATACATGCATATACCAGAACACCTACTTGGAAGCTATTGCAATAAGGCGAATAAATACCTAAATTGTGCTGTGAGAAAAAGTACATTTGATCCGTTCAAGATATGCTTTATAGTTTTATAAGTGCTGGTTATGGTCACTTATGTATGGGTCATAACAAATCAGTAAGTATTTCAAGCAACCAATTTGTCAGCCACCTTTCAAAAGATCCTGAGGCTTCTAAGCATCACTCTATATTGTCTTTAAAAACTGCCGCTAAGATGTGCCTGAATAGGCAGACCTCTAGGGAGCAGAGTATTATGAATTAGTACAATGGCTGGTAATCTTTTAGGGGAGAAGAGCAATTTTTTGGGTAGTATTCTTACAGTAAAGCTTTTTGAAAAGCTATATTATATAGGGCATCTCAAGAGTCTCAGTGGGGTTTTAAACTTTAATGCTTAACACACATATGTATATATATGTATACATACAAATACATGTATCTATATAGCATATGTATACATTTGTAGATACATGTACACACATACATACATATATACATGTGTATATGTAAAAGAGACACAGCATGATATAATAGTGAGTAGTAGCAAAATTATGCTGAATTAGGAATAACAGGACCTGAATTCAGATCCTTGCTCTTTTGCTCACTGCCTTCAGCAAGTTACTTAAACTCTCTGAGAACTCTCTGGGCCTCAGTTTTCTCATTTGTAGAACGATGGGGTTAGACTTGATCATCTCAAAGGTCCATTCAGTTCTAAAATATCTGTGTATGTTTTGTGGGTGTGATCTTGAATGTGATTTCATGACATGTGTATGTATGTATGTATGTATGTGTATTTGGGAGGATTGAAGTGCTTCAGGCCATTGGGTGAAATCAGAAGATGGAAATATTTTGGGACTGGCTGAAAAAATAAGATGCACCTATTGGCCTATGTATATAAGAGAACAATTCTAGCAATACATCAATGATGCTTCCAGTGTCCTTTAAGCAAGTTTACCTCTACTAGAGGGCAGGGTGCTTTAGTCCAGAGAGAGTCACTCTCAACCCTCACTCACATATTGACCTGTCATTGGAGAGAATTGATCAGTCTGGAGCTGAGAGAGGACAAACTCGATAGATTGCATCAGGGACTAGGACCTTTTGGAGGCATAGAAAAGTGACACCATGGACTCTAGAAAGGCATTTGTCCTTGGAACACAAAAGAGATGCCTCACAGGGATTTGACTGAGGGTGCACATTACCTGTTTGTACATGTGTTTTCTGTGTGTGTGTGTGTGCCTTGATGTTGTATCTTAAGTGTGTACCCATTTTCCCTATCTGCTCTGTGTGTATTTGTGGGAAAGTGTCCCCTAGACTTTGAGGGTGACATTTCTGTAACAGCTATTTGTGCCATATATATTTAGTACCTGTACCTAACTAAATGCTAATTAAATGTGGCTGGCTAATTAGTAATCAGCAAGGAACAGATTGGATGGCATGCCCAGTTGTTATAGAAACTTACCAGTGTACTATACTGCCTCTAGAAAGGTTTTTTTTTCAATTCCCCATTTTATTTGAACTACGTTTATCTATTTTCTATCATTTAAATAAAAAGTTCCTCTACCTTTCAATGAACTTTATTTTTCAGAGTTTTTTTTTTGGTTTTCTTTTTTTCTGAATAGTATTTTATTTTTTTCTCAATTACACGTAAAAATAGTTTTCAACATCCATTTTTGTGAAATTTTGAGTCTCAAATTTTTCTCCCTCCCTCCCTCTCTCTACTCCCCCCTTCCCAAGACAGCAAACAATTCCAGAGAGATTTTTAAACCAGCCTCATTTGTAATAGTTTATTCATTTCTATTAATTTATTTAATTCATATAGAGATGTAATCTGGCTGTAACACACCCCCTTTTTTTTGCTCTTGGTTGTTTTTTTCACCCAACCTGCTTTCACACAGACAGATCATGGTTTCCCAGAGAAGGACCATTACGATATAGTTATGTCTCAAAGTTGCTTAGGGTACTAGGGGGTAACCCTATTGTGTATATGTTTGTATGTGTGGACATACTTCTACTATTTGTCACTATAGCTCCTGAGCTCTAACCAAGGTACATTTAGAATGTACATTTACATAAAACCAGACACTGTGGTGGCTTTAGATTTTAAATGTGAAACATTCACTTAACTATAAGGCAAAGGCAAGAATAATCATCATGGTTACTGAATGTAATGAAAATGCAGAAATAATACAAACATCAGTCTACACATAAATCTGGGTCACACTCTTCCACTATAGTATCCAGAGGGAAGAGTGGGCACACAATGATAGAAACCTAGCAGAAGGCACATGTGGAATGACATGTGCCAAGGGCATCTTGCAACTTTATGTGGCAGGTCTTGATGTCCTTGGCTTTTTCAGCAATAATTATACCACACAGAGCTACTGCTCTACGTGCTGCTTCCCTTCTGGTCTTCATTACTCTCCTGCTGGGCAAAGTCTCTCCTTTTTCTTTTGAGCTGATGAAATAGTAAAAAACTCTTTTAACTTACAATTGTCTTTAACAAGGCTCTGAGAACCTGTTAACAATTGACAAATAATGACAAGGACTTCCATTAAGCCAGAGAACAGCAACGTTCCTCAAGTCGACTCTCTGAGTAAAGCAGACAAGCTCAGTCAGCTCTTCACTCAACAAGATTGTGCTTTGTTTGATTATCTCTCATCCTCTTCTTAGAGCAAATCAAAGCTCGGAGCAAAATCACTCAGATGACTCTCTGGACAATGAAGACAAGTCCAGCTGGCTCTTCATTTAATAGTCTTCTGCTTTGTTCAATCAGCTCCAAACCTCTTCTTGCAGCAAAATAGATTCAAAGTCTGTCTCCTTTTCTTTGTCTCTCCCTCTTGTACCAAATAGGACAGGAGAGAACAACTAGATATTTCTCAGAGGTATCATCTCTTTTAAGCTGTATTTGGTGCTGGAGAGCAATAGCTCAAACTATACCAAAGTTCAGTTTTCTTCCAATGAGCTTCCCAGAAACCACTTTTCCAGGCTTTTCTTCAGCTAATCTACAAAGAAGTTTCTCTCTTCCAATCATCATCTCTGAGCACAGCTATTGAAGACTTTTGGTTAGCTGACTATCCTGATGGAGTCTTCATTTCTTCTAATGTCTTGAAACAGAGCCTCCTTGTGGTCAGTGACTCTTCTTTTCCTTGATCAAGTAAAATTCATGAAATGCACCTATCAGGTATGAAATCGAGTTCGTTTTAAATCTTCCTATGATGTCTAAACAATTAATTGATTTATTATTTTGTAAGTTATAACCTCTCAAACTCTAAAAACACTCACATGCAAATGAGCTGAGAGATCACAATATCCTGAAGCCTCAATAATTTCTCTGCCCTTGTTAATTCATTCATCAGAAGTGTAATCCTGTATTTTGTCTTCCTAACAACAGCATCTGTCTCTCATTTTATTGGAGAAGCTGTTTCTTTACAAGTAGATTAAAATTGCTTCTCATATACAAATATTTTTGTGCTCCTTTTAGCAAATAAGTTGTTTACATGTGAAAGGAGAAGGGCATTATATCCTTCAAAAGTCAATTTCATCCTTTTTCTTTATAGAAAAGTTCTTTTGCCACCCTTTTCAAAACCAAACTTCTCATAGATGGAAGGGGCGGGTCTTACTACCATACATCAGCCTTACTTAAATCAATAATGTAGAATAGTGGATGGTATTCTTGGCTTGGGGTCAGGAAGACTAGATTCAAATCCTGCATTTCATGCTTGTTATCTATGTGACCCTGGGCAAGTCACCTAATCTCTGTTTGTCTCAGACAATTGAATAAATCCTACAGTATTTATACTACCCTGCCAGAGCCATGGAATTCTTCAGGAATTTATTTTATACAAGTTAAAATGGACATGTAAAATAATTATTTGTTTCCTTCAAAAGGTCTTTGTTACTTAGAATGCAATTTGGTTTAGAAACTAGAGGAGGGCTCCTGAGAAGCTCCCATATGATATTAGTACAACGAGTTGATCAGATTATCACTTAGTCCTATCCCATATCTTATCTTCTCATTCTCATAGAACAGGAAGAGCAGCAAGCACTGGGAAAAATGGTTGACAAATGAGTACAATGATTAAGGAGAGGAGGTCCAAGTAGAGTGCCGCCCAGTGGAAGTTTAATGTTTTGGGCACTGCTGGCAGCAGGGATTATTTCAGCTCTAGACTTGAACTCTATTCCTCTATGAGTCTAGTGATTTATACATTTATGCTACATAAAGCATTTTTGTATTGAAACACACATGGACACACACACAAAAGACTCATTTTTCATTCATCATCACCATAATAATTTTAGCTCAAATTTACATGTGTGTGAAAGTTTATAAAACCTTAAAGATTAGATTATAAACCACTAGATTATAAACTCCTAGAGGGCAGGTTCTATTTTCACCTTCCTTTGTAATCCCAGTGTCCAGTACATTTTAGGTGGTTAATAAATGCTTATTTGACTTAAATATTACAAAGTACTTTATGACTCAACATACAGTTATGGAGGACTTACTTATCCAACAGAGGGCTTGGATGTATATCCAATATATATCCAAGGATATAGGACAGTGCCTTGCACATTAGTGATTAACAAATAGATGTGGAACTCAAATGAATTTCTATAAAACCTGCATGCATATAATTAAAGAACCAGATGCAGCTTGAGCTAGTTACCAAGCCCTGGAGCTGGAATTCTGGTTCAAAAAATTTCTTTAGTGGACCAAACAGTTAAATGTCTATTTTACTGTTTAGTTTTATTTTAAGAGAATTGAAAGAAGGAGAGGAAGTAATTTACTACTCATCTCC